AAAAAATAAATACGAGGCCACCTTGTATATTTACAAAGCAATCTGCTGCCTTTATAGCAGAAGGTGATTTCCTCCCTCCGTCTCGGTGGCTAATTAAAAATCTAGAAGTAAAACTGGTAGAAAGAGAAATCTCTGTGAAGTAGATAGTGAAATGGATTTGATTTGTCCAAGTTTTTGCAAATATCTAATTTCTAGATATTGGTATCCGGAGAGAGGGTCTCCTCTCCTCTCTCCCTTCCCCTCTCCTTTCTCCCCTCCCCCCCTCTCCCTTCTCCTCTCTCCCCTCCCTTCTCCCTTCTCCTTGCATCTCTCCTCTCACCTCTCCCTTCTCCTCTAATTTCTCCCCTCTCCTCTCCTCCCATTTCCCCTCTCCCCTCCCTTCTCCCCCTCTTCTCCTCTCTCCTCTCATCTCTCCCTTCTCCTCTAATTTCTCCCCTCTCCTATCCTCCCCTCCCTTCTCCTCTCTCCTCTCCTCTATTCCCCTTTCCCCTTCCTTCGCCTCTCTCCTCTCCTCTCTGCCTTCTCCTCTCATTTCTCCCCTCCCCTTCCCTCTGAAAAATCTCCTGAACAGCTTCTCTTTCCTACGTAGGGCATTCCTAATGAAAGTTGGAGAATGACTAGCATCAATGAGCAGTATGAGCTTTGTGATACCTATCCTGCCCTTCTGGTAGTTCCAGCCAATATTCCAGATGAGGAGTTGAAGAAAGTGGCTGCGTTCCGGTCAAGGGGCCGTATCCCTGTAAGTATGGCACTCGCAGTATGACTTCTGCAGGTTGGTGTCCCCCAAATGTGTTGGGCTGCATCCTTCACCAAGTAGATTTTTCACGGGGTGGGAAAGACCAGTAAGAATCATTTTACAATTTAGGGACATTATCCATCCCAGCAGCAGGAATTCTTCAGGCTGCAGTTGCAGTGGTTTAATTCAGAACAATTAAATATAGACCCACAATATCAGTGATCTTCTTGATCCACTCTTGCTTTTCCCTCCCGTTCTTGTCTTCTACCAGGTTCTGTCATGGGTTCATCCAGAAAGCCAAGCCACCATCACTCGCTGCAGCCAGCCAATGGTTGGAGTCAGTGGCAAGAGGAGCAAAGAGGATGAAAAGTATCTTCAGGCTATCATGGATTCCAATGCCCAGTCCCACAAAATACTCATCTTTGATGCCAGGCCAAGTGTGAACGCCGTAGCTAATAAGGTTGGACTGTCATACCTTTGGCAGCAAGTATTTCAGCCCGTTCCCACCCAGCAGTTTCCCGTACTGATAGTCCTTGATTTAAAACTGCAGTTGAGGCCAACATTGCTGTGGCTAAGTGTGACATTTGCTAAGTGAATTTTGCTCCGTTTTATGACCTTTCTTGCCCCAGTTGTTAAGTGTATCAGTTGTTAAATTAATAGCATGGTTGCTTTTTTTCAAGAGGCGACTAGAATATCTTGGTTTTTTTCTTTGAAGATATTTCACTTCTCATCCAAGAAGCTTCTTCAGCTCTAACTGGATGGAGGGGAATGGAACAATTTTTATATTCCTTGCAGACAGCTGGCCATTTGCATTCTTTTAGAGCAGGGGTGTCCAACCTTGGCAACTTTAAGACTTGTGGACTTCAACTCCCAGAATTCCTCAGCCAGCTTTGCTGGCTGAGG